CACCTGATCTCCTTCAAGCATAAAAACTGTTGGGCATTGGGTAATGGAATTCTATGGTTATAACGGGTATACTTGCCTCTTTGTAGAACAAATCTGAATTATTATAGACATCATAAGCCAAAAGATTCGTCTGTGTCCCCACCAAAAGGACATCGCAGCCAAGCTCAGGGTTCAGCTTTCCTGCAGTCAGGCAGCTGACCGCCTGGTTAATGTTGAGAAGAGAAACATCAGACTCCAGGGGGCTCTGGAGGACTCTGGATGCACTGAAATGCTGGCTCCGTGTATGAGGATTGTGAATAAAAACCTAAGCAAAAACAGTTAATTACATTCCCTTAAAATATCAAAAAACTAGGTTATTAACAGATATCACCATTAACAACAAGTCACTTTTAACTCCCACAAAACTTAAGATGCTCACACCCAGTTTTGTGCACGGTAACCCTCAGTCATTATCAACTATGAAATCTGGAGGTTCCTGGCCTTGTGAAGAACATGTGAGGCAAGGCTCGGGCCACTCACCAGGGCAGGACACCCCAGCACTCACAGACCAGCCTTTCCCCCATCCACCCACAGGCAGCCACTTCCAGCTTCAGTAGGATCGTTACACACCCAAAAGATCACAGAAAGCAGAACAGACACTTCTTTTAGTATACTTTGTTCCAAACACCTAATAACTTTACTTTCTAACTTAGTCTAGTAGTTTGAAAATGTTTTATGAACTTAAGCTATGTCACAGCAATCAAATTTCTTGAAGAGCTTTTCATTGTCTATACTGGTAAGACAGAGAATTAGTTTGTCCAAAGATATTAAACTTGACAGGTTCAATTTCATAAATACAATCAATCATCTGAGTGACTGCGTAAGTCATTCAACTTCCTTGGGTTTCATCTCTGAAAAGGAGCTTTGGAGTAGGAAAAAAAATGTATTCTCAGGAGGGGTGAAACTACTCTCAAGATGGGTAACTGGGTTTGAGGTGAAAAGATGTTAAATATTAGAATGTCTTGTCACCAGGCACAATGGCACACGCCTCTAATCTCAGCAACTCAGAAGGCTGAGTTAGGAGGATCACAAGTTCAAGGCTGGCCTCAGCAACTCAGTGAGACCCTTTCTCAAAATAAAAAATAATAATAAAAAAATAGAGGTAAGTTTGTAGCTCAGTGGTTCAGTGCTTGCTTTGCATGTGTGAGGCACTGGGTTCAATCTTCAGCACCACATAAAAAATAAATAAATAAACACAAAGATTAAAAATAAATAAATAGATAAATAAATAAAAGAACTGGGGATGTGGCTCAGCAATAAAAGTGCTCCTGGGTTCATGTCCCAGTACTAAAACAAAACAAAACAAATCAAAAAACAACTGTAGCCTCCAAAGGGCCACAATACAAAGAGAAACACAGTATGAATGTAGTATTAAAATTTCACTGGAGAAATTTTCAATGTCTAAAAAAGCTACATATGGGGGCTGGGGCTGTACCTTAGTGGTAGAGTGCTTGCCTAGCATGGGTGAGGCACTGGGTTCGATCCTCAGCACCATATAAATAAATAAATAAAATAAAGGTTTTTGTTTTGTTTTGTTTTGTTTTAAAAACTACATGGGGGGGCCAATACAATAAAAGAAAGGATGGAAGTCACTGGACTAGAAATCCCTTGGGCTCTTTCTGGTTATCAAATTCACTAATTTTAAATAAATATTTAATTTCTTAGATATAAATCCAAAGAGTATTAATTTTAAATTATTACCTATACAAAGAAGCACATTCAACAAAAAATAATTTTCAAAAGAATTGACTAGAAATATGTAGAAAACACATGCAGCTGCTGAACTGTACCTTCGTGTTCTCTTTTGTGTGAGTATGCTTTTGCAAACACTAATTGAATTTGATCCTCACACCAACCCCTAACTTACAGACAAGGTCAGAGGAGAGAAGGTCCTTTCCTGAGATCTCAAGACTACGAGTGACAGGGTGAAAACATGAAGCCTGTCACGCTCCAGTCCCCAAGCTCTAACTACATCACACTTCCTTTTATAAGAGTTCTGAACAGAAGAATCTTTGCAATCTTCTATTAGTTAGATCTGCTGAGAAAGAACTTAGGGGACTCACAGTTATTGGGTTTTGTTTTGTTTTTTGGTACTAGGAATTGAATCTAGGGGTGCTTAACCATGGAGCCACATCCTCAGCCCTTTTGTATGTTTTATTTGGAGACAGGATCTCTGTGAGTTGCTTAGGGACTTGCTCAGTTACCAAGGCTGGCTTTGAACTTGTAATCCTTCTGCCTCAGCCTCCTAAGCCATTGGGGTTACAGGGTTGCCCCACTACTCCTGGCTCCCACATTCATTGTTAACTAGAATGGAAGGAGTGTGATTTTTGCCAAGAGTCAACAAGAATCCAAAGAGTCAGAATTCTTCCCTGTTCCTCTCTTGCTCTTCTCTGCACACACAAATATGAATGTCCAGGGAGAACTACTTGTCCCTTCAGACAAGGAAAAGCCAAGCTCAAGTCACATGACAAATGGATTACCCCCTATTTTGTAGATTCTTAAAGACTGTCTGAAGTTCATAAATCATTTGTTCTAGCTGATGGAAAAGTAAATCGAACTTATCCCGCCCACACCACCAGCTCTATGGTGAGGGAAAATATGTTCCCAGAGGAAAATACTAAGTTCATATTGCAAGGAACCCCTTCTTAAATACCCTTGGCCAAGTGCCATGACATGTGCCTGTAATCCCAGCTACTAGGGAGGCTAAAAAGGAGAACCACAAGTTCAAGGACAGCCCAGATAATGTAGTAAGACTCTGTTTGGGGAAAAAAGAAAAACAAGTTTTTCAAAATAAATAAATAAAATATGCTTGCTCAGGCCAAGATATGACAAAGTTCTGCTTCTAGAAATGAAGGCCCTAGTAGTCAGAGTAGGCTTTAGCCTTGCCAGGAATGTTTGTTTTTAAAGACTACATTTACATGTTATGTGAATCATAAGATATCACCAATTATTTTTTAAGTCTCCATATAAAAGATTAGAACTTTCCAGATTTATTTAAAGTTCTAAAAACAAAGTACTCAATTACACAGAGCACGGGATCCTCTGTTGATTGACATCTTCATAAACAATCCTAGAATCAAATGTCCCTGCCTCCCACTCTAGGTCACAGTTTAATGTGAGGGCTTCCACAGAACCCCTGCCTGGCTCCCTGCTTCCACTCCTACACTCTACATTCCCTGCGTCCCCAGTACATCCTCCACATACCAGTCAGACAGTCAGAATCACTTTACCTAAAACATACAGCAAATCCTATCACCCTCTTTATTGAGACCCTCAGTGTCTTCCCAACACACTCAGTATAAAAACCAAGGTCTTTACAGTGGCCTGCAAGGCTGGCCCTGCTCACCTCAGGGCCTCGGCATTCCTTTCCATCCTGACACCCTCCTTGCATCCTGGAACACACCAAAACCTTTACACTCGCTACTCCCTCTGCCTGCAAGGCACTTACTCCACATATCCAGAGCTTGTCTCCTTATCTCCTTCAAATCTCTGATCAAATGTTATAAGAGACCTCACTGACTACCCCATCTAAAATAGCAAGCTCCTACCATCCCCATCCTCCACTTCTTTTCCCTCCCACACGCACACACACAAGTAATTCTGGTAATAGACTCCAAAGGGATGAAACTTGTCTGTCACATTAACCACTGCACCTGAAAAGCTAAGAACACTGCTAAGCATGATAAGCCTTCAAATTAGGTGCTGTACACCTACAGCAGGGCTAGTGTGAAGTTTGTTTGGGGATCCATTAATGCCTCCCAACAACTAACATCATATATAGACCCTGCACTAAGTGCTTTACTCCTTAATGGAAGGGAATCACTACTCTTTACTTATGTATCCAAAGGTATATATATCATATGATGTAACAAAACATGTATTTAAAGTTTTTATTTAATGTTGTGAAAGCTATAAATCATTACATAAATGTTAGCTATAAAATGCACACTGGGTCAGAGAACATGCACTATAATCTCATTTCACCAATTTCCAGTTGAGTGGCTTCAGGCGCTGCTTTGAACCTCCCTGAATTATCTAATCAGCAAGGTAGGCATCACAATAAGAAAATAAAAGGTAACAATTAGTGACCACTTCCTATATGACAAGTGTTTTTCAAGTATTAACTTATCTAATCCTCATGACCCTAAATTACTACAAAGTACCTTGCCAAAGGTCATGAAGCAATTAATGGAGCCAGGATCCACCACATCTGTGCTATGCTACTACCCTTAATCTTGTAGCAAAGATGCTCAGGTAATTAATGTAATAAGGCTTTGTACTTGAATTACCCTGTATTTCATGTATTTTGAGCATGCCTCCACCAATATACTGGGCTTTGATCTATACATTGTTTGACATCCTTCTACACTTTAAGCGTTCTTAAAGTAGGAATTCCAATTTCATCCGTGAATCTAGCATAACAGAGGTGTTCAGTTGAAGTCTGATGACTGTTGAATGACCATGTCTCTTGCAGAGTATCTGGCACATGTGTAAGCACATAATGCTTAGCTAATATATTATAGGGAAAACTCTGCATGTACCCGGCCAAGGATCAAAAGTGCAATTGGAGGGTTGGAGATACAGCTCAGTAGTACAGGGCCTGCCAATCACGAGAGGCCCTGATTTCCATCTTCAGGACCACACACACACAAAGAGCAACTTGAATTTAATTCAGGGATTTCTACAGGCCTTTCTCTTTCTTCTCCTCCCAACCAGTGTGAGAGTGCAAGGAGTTCCAAGCGACAAGCAGAGGCTCCGGGCTGGATTCTAGGGTCAGCTATTAGAGCTAATCCTAGCCAAGCCCTTTTCCTTTTGAAGACTTCCCTTCCCTAAGCTCCTTTTTCGTCCAGGCACACCACCAATGTCCTGACAATCAGAAAACAATCAGAACTCCCTACTCCTCTTGGCAGGATGGACTCCTACGCCGCGACTACGACAGGTTGCCAGGCAACCCGGGCCGGGGAGGGGCCGGCGCGAGAGGCGGGGTCTCGGGGGTGCGGCCCGCGGAGATCCTGGGGCGCCGGGCCCGGGCTTCGAGCCGGTGGGAGCGGTTACCTTGCCCGCTTGGGTGGCGGCCGCCAGGCACGGGTGAGTCCCGTCGTAGCGCCCTATAGCCACCATGCGGGGGCTGATTTTGTGGCGCAGTTTCAGGGTGAACACGGGCAGCAGCATGATGGTGGCGGCGGCGGCTGCTCGGTAGTGGGCTGGCGCCCGAGGCCGGCGAGGGGCGCAGGGACAAGACCCCCCAAAAGGCCCCAAACCAAGCTCGCACGCCCAGCTGCCGATTCCCGCGGCTACACGCACCCACCCAACTGCTTCTGCGGCTGCGCAGGCACCGCCCCGCTCTGAGGGCGGCTGCGCAGGCACCGCCTCACTCCGAGTGCGGCTGCGCGGTGATTCGCGCCGCGGAGGAGCAGAGCTATGTTTTCACCTAAGAGCAGTCACGGCTTTGGCTGCTGTAACTTGCCTGTTTGAGGTTCAACTCCACCCAGGTGTCTGCGGTGGCCGGATCTGAGCCAGTGCATCCCCGCAGGCGTCCCCTTCCAGCACAACCAGTCTGTAGCCTGCAGACCCTGGTGGTCTATGACTTTTCAGTTGCTCTTATAACAGGACATGACAGCATCACTAACGCTTATTGACCATTTTCTAGCTGCCATTATAAGTGCTTTATATGATCATTTCACTTAATCCTACTATAACCTTATGAGGTAGGTACTGTTGTTAGTCCATTTTACAGATGATAAAACTTAAGCATCATTCCTTCCTTCCTCTCCCCCCACCCCCACCCCTGCACTGTCTCGCTCTGCCTTTCTTTTCCAGTATTGAGAATGAACCCATTTTACCACTGAACTACACTGCCTTTTCTATTTATTTATTTATTTATTTATTTAAAGGTAGGGTCTCCCTAAGTGGCTGAGGCTGGCCTCAAACTTGCAATCCTCCTGCCTTGCTCTCCCAAGTCACTGGGATTACTAGTGTGCACCAACTGTGCCTAGAATTGCCACCTCTCATTATATACGTCTAAATTGGCTCCCTATTTTCAATCAAAGAAAATCCAACCTCTTTAACAGATTACACGAAGATCTCCAAAATATTCTGATCACCATTTATCTCTACAACCTCATCTTTTGCTTTTTCCCCTCAAACCCTATCCTTTACATGCTGTTTCTAGACTCTCTGCTCACATTGTATTTTCTACCTGGAATGATTTTCCCCATCCCTTCCATCTTTGAAGGCTTGGGTTGAACATCACCAGGGAGTCATGTGGGGGCCTGTCACTGGCATTCTCATATTTAGGAAGTAGCCACACTTTCTGTGTGCCTTCATCAGATCTCCAGCAGTCACATCATTTGTTACATAGAGTATATTTGAGTTTTTGGAGCACAACTCCAATTAGGATCAGCAAGGCTCCCAGAAGGATAGGGAAACCCCCAGACTTTCTGCCAAGCACCAATCCAGGCAGGGGACTTAAAGGTTTTCCTTCAAGGAGAAGGACCCAGAGTTGACCCTCTCCTGCCAGGAGTCCTGGACTCTTCTCTGCCTGCCATGGCCTACCAGGGGTTACTGGCTCAGCCTTGTGAGAGTGAGAGATGGGGCTCTTGAGGCATAGGACTTTGCAGGGGGAATGGGAGCTGGCAGTGGGCTGGGGGTCGGCGGTTATTGTAGAAATGCAGCAGTACAACCTGTGATTCTCAGCAGCATGCAGACGTGGTTCAGATTCATCCTCCCTTAGTCACTAGTGGAAACTCAGATCCACCATTTAGCCCTAATGCTCATGTTTATTGAGCACCCTCTCTGAACCAAAGACTTGACACAAGCCAAGTCACTAATCTTCAAAGCCACTCTTAGTCGTCATGCCATTTTACAAAAGAGGAAACTGAGTCACAAGAGTTCCTATAACAGCCCAAAGTCACAAAGCTGGCAAATGGCAGCATCAGAATGGCAAACTCAGGCAATTGGGCTCCAGAGCCTGCGCCCCAACCACTGCACCACACTGCCCCCCAGTAGTGACCTTTCCTGAGCACCTGCATCCTTGTCTAGAAAAGAGAAATAGCACCTGCACCACTTCTGAAGAGCAGTGTTGCGAGAATTAGATGAACTAATGAAAGGGCTTAAAGCTATGTCTGGCCCTTAATAAGGGCCCTCATGCATGGTTATTATTACCTCTGGGAGAAAGGGCTGCCTCTGGGTAGGGTCACTGTGGTAATAAATTTGGGGTCTTTTTTCTTTTTCTAGCAGGCGGCATTGGTCCAGTTTTCTTCCAGTCTGAGATTGGGAAACCAGCCTTGCTAGTCAAGTACTAATGGTTTGGGTTAGGACCAAAATATTTGATCCCGATTTGCTGTAAAGGTGGAGGGTGCCTATGCGGACAGGCGCTCTCCTCCCCTTGAATTTACAAAGCACCCACTAGAGGGTGTGCAGGTGTAAAGAACTGATCCCATGGCTCAGGACTCTGAACAAAGGCCTGGTCTTTATTGGAGGGAGGTGGGGCAGGAGGCCCCACAGGACAGGTCAGGACAGGAGACTGACTTCTCAGCGTGGACTGGGGCTTGAGAAGGGCTCCTTTAAGTCACCAGCTTGCTTCCGAGGGAAGAGAGAAGGACTTTTGTTGTTCTTTTTAGATATATATGACAGTATAGTGCATGACATATTGCACATACATGGAGTATGACTTATTCTAATCAGGATCCCATTCTTGTGGTTGAACATGATGTGGAGTTACACTGCTCGCATATTGATATGTGAACATAGGAAAGTTATGTCCGATTCATTCTACTCCCTTTCCTATTTCTATCCCCCCTCCCCAGTCTTGATTCCTCTTTATGTAATCCATTGAAGTCTCTCCCCACATCCCTTATTGTGTGTTAGTATCCGCCTATCAGAGAGAACATTTAGCCTTTGGTTTTGGGGGACTGGCTTATTTCACTTAGCATGATAGTCTCCAGTTCCATTCATTTACCAGCAAATGCCATAATTTCTTTATGACTGAGTCATCTTCGATTGTGTATATGTACCACATTTTCTTTATCCATTCATCTGTTCAAGGGCTTCTAGGTTGGCTCCATAGCTTTGAAATTGTGAATTGAGCTGCTGTAAACATTGATGTGGCTGCCCCACTATATGCTGATTTTAAGTCCTTTGGATATATGCCGAGGAGTGGGATAACTGGGTCAAATGGTGGTTCGCTTGCAGTTTTTACAGCAGAATTGTCTCACATTTTTAAAGTGAAAAAAAAAGAAAAAAGAAACAGTAAAATAACAACTTGAGGATGAAGGCTGTCTGTGGATGGTTTTAGGATCCAGATCTGCGTCCTCTTTCCAGGCGCATCCCCCCAGAGCCTGCGTATGAAGGACTGCAGTCTTAGATTCCCCAAACTCTTTAAGGGGAATAGCCATGAGGACCCCTCTCCAGTCCATGGAGGAGCAGGTGGGGAGACCACTGGATCAGACAGGCTGCACAGGGCCAGGCTCTGAGAGGACTTTTGTCTGGTTTCCTGCAGGAGCAGTTCTCCTAGATATCCCACTCACCCATCTTCCATTGCCTGCCTTCTTTCTAAAACTCCCGGTAGCTCTGTGATGGTCTGCTGTGGGCTGCAGGGTGAGGCTGACTACGTGATCTCTTCTCTCAGCTCATTTCACACATGTCAGACATTAGGATGAAGCATCTTATGTCAGAGTCGCTTAGCAGCATGTCACATGTGAAAAAATATATATAGAGAGAGAATAGATGGGGGCAGGGGGGCTACATATAAGAATAATAATAGGTAACATTTTTTGAGTGCTTACTATGTGCCAGTCTGTGAAATTCATTTTTTTAACATTTTTTAGTTGTTGATGGACATTTATTTAAGTTTATTTATATGTGGTACTGAGAATTGAACCCAGAGCCTCACACGTGGCAGGCAGGCACTTTACCACTGAGCCCCAACCCCAGCCCCTGTGAAATTCTTTATTCAAATTATTATCTCACTTAACTCTCCACATTTGAGGGTAGGTAATATTGTCCCCATTACAGATGCAGAAACTAATTTCAACCCCAAGTTCTTTGTACTCCCTATGTTATAATCAGGGTGTCCAGTTGAGGTCCAGAAGTTGAACCACGATGCAAAGAAAACCGCTGACTCCAATTTTAAATCAAATTAAAGCAAGCTTATATTGTGTACACAAAGCTGGCCAGCAACTTTCAATCCCCAACCAGGCTAGAGATCAGCCCAGCTCTGGAGGAAGAAAAGGTTTATATAGCACAAAAAGTTACAAAATGGGGTGTCTTGGGAACTTACAGTTAACAGGTTGTGGCAAGCATAATACAAGGGCAGATAACAGGTTAATGATCTACATGGCATGATATTTCAAGGTAGGGAGTAAATTCAGATCCCAACATCAGAATTTATTAGGCACCACTGCTGAGGTTCCAGAGAGGGTTGTTATCTGGTCAGGGGGAGCCAGGAATGGGTAAGTTCACCAGAGCATGGGCAGGAATTCCAAACAAGTTTAGAAATCTCAGCAATTTAGAATAAAACAGAAATGAACTTTTTGTGACTTTGTGATGAGATGGCTTTCCTCTAAGGATTCTTGCCACATTCCCAGGTGCTAAGATACTAGTAGGGCTGGGGTTATAGCTCAATGGTGGAGCACTTGCCTTGCATGCACGAGGCCCTGGGTTCAACCCCAGCACCAAAAAAAAAAAAAAAACAAACAAAGGTTCTTTCAGCTTAAGTCTAAATAATACCTCTTAATAAGAGATGCTAAAAGATAGACGACTCATTTTCAATACATTTTGTAGGATAAAGGTTTACTAAAGCTCCGTGGTATTTTTGAACTTGCATTTTTTTTTTTAACTTGCTGGTTGTATATTTTTCATTTGCCTGTCCAGATCCATTTCTTCTTCCTCTGTCCTGGTCTCTGCAGGAAGATCAATTGTAAAGGGGTGTGAGGGAATTTGGAAGGAGGTGATAAAAATGTTTGATAATTTGATTGTGGTGACGGTTATGTAAATGTATGCAGTGTGATAGCTAAAATCATTAAACTGGGCTCCTGGTATAGCTCAGGTATAGCTCCAGGTAGAACCCTTTCCTACTGTTTGCAAGG